GAACAAACTAATGTATTAGAAAAACTATACTGCAAATTTTTAAATCTTAAGTGAAAAATGTTAATGTTGAAGAACAAGCGCATCTTGATTCTAAAGTTCCAAAGTTTTAAAACTATTAATAGTACCCAATTATTATAATAATATTAATATTCACAATGAATCTAAGTTTCAAATGGACAGCAACTGCCTGTTGTAGAAACCTACAAATGTAAAGGACGACATTTCGAAAGTCTTCTGCCTTTCGTCTTCAGGTTTAAGACGGAAGACTTTCGAAACGTTGTCCTCTACATTTGTAGGTTTCTACAACAGGTAGTTGCTGTCCATTTGAAACTTAGATTCATTGTGAATATTAATATTATTATAATAATTGGGTACTATTAATAGTTTTAAAACTTTGGAACTTTAGAATCAAGATGCGCTTGTTCTTCAACATTAACATTTTTCACTTAAGATTTAAAAATTTGCAGTATAGTTTTTCTAATACATTAGTTTGTTCTGAGTATTGAATTTGGTTAATACTTTTTTGAATAAGTATATATTACATATATGGTATTAAATGGGTGTATTTAAGTTAGATTACAAATATATATATATATATATACATTCTTTTTTTGCATTAATTTAAAGGTGATGTCAGTTGTCTAATATAAATTGTCTTCTATCAGCTTGCTAATTTGTATATTCTTAATTTTATTTCTTCTTTAAAATGTAATCAAACTTAACTTGAACCTTTATTTTTTCTTATTCTTATGAATAACATTCATAAGGAATAATTAGTAAAATTAATGAAGTTTTTTATTGTTATTAAACTTGCAAGTAGTTCTAGGTATGTGAGGTTGTTCAGAATGACTATTAAATGATAAATTGGACAAATAATTGGTGTATGAGATTTTATCACAGTGAGTGTGAAGTAGTGCCTTTGGGTTATTATGATTTGGATCACATGTTTAGTAACAACTCAATAGTGTGACTGAAGAAAAGGAACTTGGCATGGTGGTGGATAAGTCACTTCAAGTTAGCCATTGAAGCAATGCTGTGTTGCTTATAGTAAAGCTAGTAGAATCTTAGAATGTATGTATATAAGCATATTGACTGCAAGTCAAAAGATGTAATTATCTCTATAATATCACCTTTTACCTTATCTTGTGTCCTCCACTTTTCTTACTTATTGAGGAGGGGTGGGGGCAATGGAGACAAAGGAAGGGTTTTTATTTAGTGGTTAGATCACAAAGTTACATATCATAGCTAATTTACATACTTTTTCACAACAATAACATTGGTATGTCACTGCTAGAAGATTATGTTAGTTTCACAATAAAACCATACTCAAATTCTATGTGCTCTGGCTAGAAGGTGAGTTAACACTTTCATATAGCTAAAAATATCATACTGGAACTAAACGATAAAAGGAATAACGAATGAGTAAAAAATATTTAATTTTAGGTTGAATATTCAAAAATACATATATCAAGTACAAGTGAAAGGAAGTCATCAGTGCATTTTATTAGTTGCTGATAAACATCATTTGGAATTTTGTATTTAATTTTGATTATCTTATTTAAGAACGTGTGATGAGTTGTTGTTGGATAGCCATTACAATGATTCCAGGTGTGAAGGAAATATGGGAATCGGGTAAAATCTTTTGACATGCTTACTGGAGAAAAGAGCTTGGGGTAAATGATAGAGGTTTTTTAAGAGTTTTGAAGTTGATAAATCCACACAAAAGTTGCCAAGCTTTTAGTAAACATTACAAATTTGTTATACACAAAAAAATCAAATTATTTGATTAAGTTTTTTACTAAAGATTTTTCAGTGAATTTCAAAAGCCTTTACTGGGTCATTCTGAGTAAAAGGTGATTTTCATATTAAGAATAAAAATACTTCTTTTCACCTTACAGTTTTCGTATTTAATTTGCATAAATAACCCCTAGAACCTCCTAAGTATGTATCAAAAGTTTGTTCACATCTTTGTATCCTTTTAATTTTATGGTTTTCATACTGTATTTTTTGCCCACTGAAGCAGTATTTCTTGTGTTAAAAGCAATAAATCACAGCAGGAGCCCATTAGTTATTATTTTGTAGAGCTATTTGATTGCTTGCTGTAATGTTTCACAGAGCACTCAAACTCCTGAAAATTTAGATGGTTTATTTTACTGAATATATTTTAGGCTAAGCTAAGAATTTTCTAACTTTTATATTTCAATTAGTTTTATTAGAAATATATATATAACAGTAAATACAATATATATGCACAAAACAACCATTTGTAGTACTTACTGCATACTCAAGCTCTTTTGCACTTGAGTGAAAATTTTTGATCCTTTTCTATTAACCTCATTGAGTCTCACAAATTTGAGTGTCTAAAAAAAAGAATTCATATAGCTTTCAAATATGTATTTTAGAATACAAAAATATACATCATTCACTAAAATAGAATATCCCAAAACTACTGTAATTTAGTTACCTTTCTAAGTAAACTGTAAATAGGTTAAAAATTCCTTTAGCAATCAGAGCACCATAATATATTGATCATATGCCAAGCATTTCTCATGAATAGCTTATAGTGTGACAGCTAAACAACAACTTGGTATGTTTATAGAGAGGAGAATCTGCATTTTCTATTGGCTATAAACATATCCACCAGCTGTGTAAGTTTGGTTAGTAAATAATCTCAAAAGTCAGAGGAAAGGGCGGGTTTCTCTGGTTGGTTTGACAAATTTATTGACATCTCAGCAAATCAAGAAGATAGGAGATTTAATTTCTGGATTTTGAATGTATGTAGAGTTTGGTTTTTAATTCATTGGAAACTGCAATAGTTATTTTTGATGTTAGGGAATTAATAAATAGATATATTGGAGATCAGGTGCATCAAAAAGTGCATAAGAAAAATGAAAGTTGAAAAAGTTTTAATAATTTTTTTTAAAATTAAGATTGACTTGATATAAGTGCTCCTAAAATAGCAGCCACTCACAAAGGTTTTACAGCTAGTCAGACTGACCAATGGCTTCTGTCTCTGCTGGTCAACTAGCTTTTGAAACCACCTATGACTAGTATTTACTGATTGATGGAAATACTGAGCTTACTTTTAAGTTTGATAGAAATTACAATATTGAAGGAGTTTAAAAGAAGATTGGATGAGTATTTTAAAGATCAGTGTTAAGTATTAGAAAAGAGGTTTATATAAGTAGTTGTAATACAAAGTTGTATAGTCTAAATTGTCCAAATGCTCCCTTTTTATCTCTTGGTAAATAAAATTAAAAAATGGAGGAATGGTAGAGACCTTAATAATATTTTGAATGAAAGATTCTTTCATTCTAGTGTGTAACTGTTACTGAAAGACTACATTACATTCAGCATACTAGGAACTATGTATGTTGAATGCACCTGTCAGTAATTCTCGGAATTCTTCTGAGAAAAACTCTTAAACATCACCTGCTTAAACAGGAAGTGAAAGTCAGAAGTAGAAAATGTGAAATATTCTGATCTTTAAGTGAAGTCTCATACAGCATAAAGCTGACAGTAAATCAGCTTTGAATGTTGCTAAAGATGGAAAAGTCAAAGTGATATAGATGATACCTTAGAACCTATGTATTTAGTAGCCTACATGGGGAACCACAGGTAATAAAGCAGTGGTATAATAGAAAGAAGTTAATTTCCTGGTACTGTTGTAAAGAAATTGGTAATTACATTTATATATTACAAACAAATGTTGCATAAACATTTTCAAAAATTGCATTAGTTGAAATAGGAAATAATTTAAATGGATTGGAGGTTGGGTGGGTGGGAGGAAGTAAAAAGTTGTTATTAGTGGATTTCAGTCTAATTGGACTAATGTTATAAGTGGTGTACATTACATTCAGCATACTAGGAACTATGTATGTTGAATGCACCTGCCAGTAATTCACAGAATCCTTCTAAGAAAAACTCTTATACATCACCCGCTTAAACAAGAAGCGAAAGTCAGAAGTAGAAAATGTGAAATATTTTACATCAAACTGCAATCTTCATATGTATGTCTAAAGTTTATGGTTGTAATAAATTTGATAACTAATAGGTGATGTTTACCACTTGTGCATTAGATTTATTCTTCATGATATATATATGTCAGTAAAGAAAATTATTGTATAATGTGACCAGTGTTTGCAGAAAGCATGTATAATTAAGATGAGAACTTGTATTAATTATTTATATATATATATAAAATTCAATAACCTAAATTAATGTTTGCTTTCTCTCCCAGTTCTTATCAATTGTAATCATAAACTAAAATCATAGTCTTTCTAGTGTTCTACTTTAATTCTTTTTTTTTAATAGATTCAGCACAAGATGTTAACAGCTTGTAACTCTTTGATGTTGTATGGTTTGCATTCTTCTGTTTATATTCCCTGTTTTCTGACCAAACGGATAAAATACGTGTCAACAGATTGTATTAGCATTCAAACATTTTGCATTTAATGTTAATAGCAGTTTAATTTTATCCATTAAATATGCATATGTTTACACTCAGCCACTTATATATATAGAAGTCATTAGCATTTTTACCATTTGTTAAAAATATGCCCAGAATAGAATGATTATCCAAACAAGTGTTCATGTAATCTCTTCACCTTGAGATACTTAATAATATATTGAACTTTATATTACTAACAGTTCTTTAATAATTTTCTGTTTGTTTTCACAAACAAGTTTGTCAAATCATTACAAAAAAAAATTATGTATTTTATCACCTTGCCTGTACTTATGAGAAGTTATGAATTATTTGTTGCTAGAAATTAATTCTGTGAATTCTAAATTTGTGGGCATGTAGTTTATTGGAAACACAAATTTTTGTTTTTGAAATCTAGCTTTGACAAGCTGCTGTTTTTAATTATTTTTATCCCCTCACAATAGTACTTATGTTGCACTGATATTACACTGTACAAAATATTTTATTGCAAATTGTTGTACGTTTTAGGTGGTCATCTTGTTTGTCTTCAATATCTTCTACAACATGGTGCTAATGTAGACCTAGCTGACATTAAAGCCCAAACACCACTTTTTGTTGCTATTAAAAGAAAACATCTGAAGTGTGCACAAGTTCTCTTGGAAGCTGGAGCAGATCCTAATGGTGATGCTGGAAATAGATGTACTCCATTGTATATTGCTGCACAAGATGGATTTCTTGATGGTGTTAAGGTTTGTGAAAATATCTAGTCAGGAATAAAATATGTTGGTACAAGTTCCCCCCCCTTCCTTATGTTTTTACTTTTGGTGCATTTATCTTTGAATTTTGTTAAGTTTTTCCTATAAGTAACTTATATACACCCTGATTAAGAATGCAAAAGAAAAATTCCCATATGATAACTAACCTCTTCACCTAGAAATGCTATCTTCCTTGTATGTCTACATATGAGGTTTGCATGCCACTAGCCTTAATGTAACTCCCACTTAAATTCATGTGTTTTATGTGAACTGTGCTTGTGCATGATGATGTCACCAAGTGACAAAACCCCTCCACTAATAGGAGAGCATTACGATCTCCATACACAGTAATTACTTCTATGCACTTGTGATAACTCCATTATTTTCCTCAGCATTGCATTGGACAGACGTGTTCAAAATTTCTCATATGAGTTCAGTTTGTTGATATTTGTATTTGTTAACAAAAATTTTGATTTTGATTTTCTTTGGCTTTTGTTTCAGAAGCTTTAATTTTTTGTCATCAGTTCTTAACTGACAATAACTTATACTTAATCCTGTGTAAGTGACATTATTACACACACACACAGGCCTTATTTCTACTATGGCTTCTAGAGGTTTGTTCAATGTCAGGGACATTACAGTTATTGATCAAAGTGTTGTAGATTACCACATACTCACTGAGCCTCCTACTCCTTCCCATCCCATCCCCCAGAATTATTTCTCCTCAGCTCTGATTTTTTTTTCCATTATCTCAGTTCTTGGGGTTTACTGTGTCTTTCCTCCTTGCTTGTTATTAGGGTTTATATTGTTTTCTATCTTTAATAGCTCCTTTTTCACACCCAAATGTCTCGTACCTCTCATTTGCAACTTTTTTTTTCTGTCCTGACTTGTAGACATTCTTTCTTTCCTTGATTCCCTGTCTTTGGTATCTACTTTGCCTGCTTGAGGATCAGGCTCCTTGCCTTCTAATTTGCTCTTTGATTCACTGTTTTCATGTCTTCATCTCACCACCCTCCTTTATTCCCTTTCCTACCTCCACCTTTTCTCTGAGGCACTTAATCATATTCCAAAGGTGTTTTTTATAGAAGCTTGTTCCCCTCTCTCTGTCATCTTATCCTGTTACACTTTTTCTGCTCTGTCTCTACTTACTTTGTTCCCCATATGTTAGGACTCATTGGGTCTGGTTATGTTGATCTTTACTGCACACCTTCTTCCTTCTTGTATACATGGTATTTGTCTGGTTCCTTTTCATTACCTGGACGTATTTGGTGGTGCTCATTTCTCACTGAAGACTTGAACTGACATGGTACAGCTTCAGTCCTCATTTTTTTCCTATGTTTTTTCTTCTTTCTTAACTTTACCCTTTACCCCTGTTCCTCATCTAGATCAGTCTACTAACCTTCCCATTCCAGGTTCTAAGCTTTCTTCTTCTTCTTCTTCTCATCTCTCTCTACCAGACAGTAGTTCATTGCTCTTCTTATCTGTAACTATCATGTCGCATCCAACTCTATGGGTACCCATCTCTTCCCCTTCTTTTGCTGTTGGTCTCAATTTCTACCAACAGTCAGTTGCTATTTCTCCACCACTGTCTCTCTCCTCACTTCTCTTCCCATTTCATTTTCTCCTCCCTATAACCCCATCCATGGTCTTTTGCACGTGTTGAACACCTCCCTCTTGACTCATCTTCCAGATATTTTCCACTTTCTATCCATCAAATTCACATCTGCCAATCCCTTGCTCTTCCCTTCAACATGGTGTTGGCCCATTTTGTATTAATTTGTACTGTGAGGGTCTTTGCTCACCATATTCATGGCTCAGGGCTGGCATTCCTTTTCTTGGATAATTGATATGTATTAGCCCATTCTTCAATGATATCCTCTTCTCATACCTCCTCTCTTTTACAAAAGGTTACTCGGTTGGGGTGACTTGTCATGATATCTAACTCCTTTCTTACACCAGCTCAATGTTGGTACTTCTGGGCATTTTCTTCTTCTCTTTTCTCATCCAAGTTCAGCCTTGTCCTCTTCACCAGCAAGGTATGTCATATCTGGTCACCAGGATATGTGCTTCTCATTCTCATCCTGCACGAGAGGTTCTTTCACTTTTGGTGACTCTGGCTTCTCTGAAACTCCTCATGCCTTTGGGGCATCCACAATTGCATCTCTTTCAGTGAACCTTGCAGATCCAAGAGATTCTTTCTCAAGTTTTATTGTCCTCATTGGTAAACCTCTCCTCAAGGAATTTTCATGGTGAATGGACTGTGCCTATACTACTTCTGACATTCCCATACTAACTTCCAAACCAGATCTTTCTCTTCATCAATGCTTCACTGTCTGATTGAAATGAATCTCTGAATAAGAACATGGCTTCTGGCATTTGGATGCAGGGCAAGTGTTCATTCCATATAAACCTGCTCATAACTTATGACTGTTTCTCAGGCATGTTCCCATTTTTCCCCTACTGGTGGATCACTTGGTCAGGCTCCACTCTGACAATTCCACAGTAATTTCTTACACCAACCATCCAGAAGGCACCCATTCCAGGGCATTGAACCTACTCTTCTGAGCTCACTCATATTGGGTTTGTTTTGTTGCTTATTAACTGCTAGGAGTTAAGCACTTGGTGGCAGACAGCCTTTCTTAGCCAGTCTGTATTCTACCAATGGTGGTGTTCTCTACACCCACGAGCGTTTCATTGGATTTGCTCTGGGCACACTTGTCATAGATGTCTTTCCCACTCTTCTCAACTGCAGGCTTCCTCTTTTTTGATCCCTTGTTCCTCATCCTTTGGTTTTGACTGCTGATGCTCTTAGTCAAGCCTGTTCTCACATTTTTCTATATGCCTATTCCCTTCTTTGTCCCCCCCCCCCCCCTTGAGTCCTCAACTTGATATGCAACACTTCTTTTCCAATTCTCTTGTTGGAACCTGTTTGGCCAACTCAGCCTTGGTTTCCTTTGCTTCTTCACTTAGCATCCAGACCCCTCTATTACTTCAACCTCACACATCCCTATTTCATTGAAGAAATCATCCTTCCATCTTCACGTGTGGATTTGTCCAGTCCATCACCCATCAGGCCACACTATCCGATTGTATGGCGTTCTTTTTTGTCACTTTCCTGTTGCCCTTCCACTATGTTTGTCTATCAATGGCAGTGACAAATCTTTTACCATTGGTCTGCCTGCCACTTCTTTCTTCCTGGCCATCCTACTGGGAACCACCTTTCTGCATTTTTACCTAGATATTAGTCTATGGTTTTGTTAGTCTCTGTCATTGCTGGTTATTAATTTAGTGGCTTTGTCCATTGTGTTTCCCTTTTCCCACTACTACAGTGTGTTTCTTCCCCTGTTCTCTCCACTCTGTTCTGCTCCTTCATTCTTTTCCAACCCCCCTCACCTAATTGGAACCTACTGTGGTTTTGCGAGCTCTCATTTGTGCTGTGTTTGAGCAATGGCTTTTTACACTTTGTACCATCTTTCTCTCTTGACTTATTTCCTCCTTGCCTGCAATCACCATCATTTGGGTGTCTGTGCTATTGATACTTCTTTCACCCTCTTCCACTGCAGTTATGCACTTCTCTCCCCAGATTGATGTTTCCTACCTAAGATTTCTTCCATTCAGGAAAGTAACTGTACTTTCTGTTCTATCTCCTTTCCTTCTGTCTTTCACCTATATGATTGTTTGGACCCAGATCAGTTCTGGTATCCTGTTCTGGCTGTTCATTGTTGCTTATCACTTGCAGGATCCCCACATAGTCTGTTCTTAGGCTGAGACCACTCTTCTTCTTGGAACCTCTCTGCTTCTACCCTTACTGAATGGGTCTGTTTGCTCCTCCAGTGGGTATATTCGACTCTGTATGAATATTCACAGGTTATTTCACATTTGATTCATCACCTGACTTATTCTCTTGATTCCCATTTTTGCCCTTTGGACGAGATCCTCCAAGTTGGAATATGGACAACCTCACATGTTTACTTCTTGTTATCTTCACCATCTGGCTGTTTTGTCTCCTGCTGGATTTCAACTTTCACCAGTTTTCAATCAACCCACCATCTCTGAGAAGAGTATGTACATTTTCTTTTTGAACTCCTCTTTTCATTTCTTAGGATCCCACCAGATGGCTGGTGTTGCCTCCCAGGATATGCTTATTTCCTAAAATATGCATTAAGCCAGGAAAATGCTCATAATATCTGCCCTGGCTCTATCACTTGACATATCCTTGTGGTATACATATTTACTCAGTTATCTGATCCAAACCATTCCTATTCCATGTACTATGTTGAAAAAGTTGGTACTAGAGAAGTGTTCTGTCTACTTCTTTGGATCACTCTTGCTGGCTTTTAAAAATGGGGTTTTGTGGTCACCCATTGCACTGTCTCCAGTAAAAGATATTACTGGCTGGTGGTCCGATGGGTATTTGGATACTTCTCCCCCTTTTTCTTTGAGAGGAGTATGGAAGACCCTTTCTACTTACCAGTTCCTAGCTGTTGGGTTGTAGACCACAGAAAATCCTCACTGGCTGGGCTTAGCACAGTATGGTGAGAAGTGAGGCAGTGGTGATACTGTGCCCTCCTATTGCAGCCAGTTCCTGTTCAGTAGGATTGAGTGAGCACATGCCCTCTTCCTGCAGCCAGAGTCTATTTAGTAGAGTCAAGATGAGCATACAACACTACACGTATTGGCTCACCAACTTTGTTTGAAAGTGCTCTAGATGGTTATGTTCTCATTCTAACCATCCGTGTGACACATGTAACTCATTTGCCTCTTACCCCCTGACATTCCAGACGAAGAGTACACCCTGATTAAGATGGGATGCCGTTTCCCTCAGGTGTGCCCCTATGGAGCTCCTGCCATTGGATGTCACACTCAGTGGGCTTCCCTTCAGGTGCTTTCTGAAGACAGCTCATCTAGGTATTATCTTGTGCCAGCCCCTTTACCATTTCAACATGGGATTTTAACCTTTTTGTGTGAAGAGGTAAGTTATTGCCTCTGAAGTTAACATTTTCCTAATCTAAAAATGTATTTCTGATAGATACTTGCTTCCACACACATTCTTGCCCATCCTCTCCATTTCCAGTGCACATTGTTTGTGTTGGTTCCTCAAAGAATGAAGTTATGACAATGCATAGGGGAGATACTGCACATGAAGGTTGTGTCACTCTCCTATTGGTGGAGAGCTTTTATTATATGATGACATCATCATGCAGCAGTGTAATTCATGTAAAATGTGTGAATTTATGTGGGAATACCTCAAGGCTTGTGGCATAAAAATCTCTTAAGCAGATGCGTGAGGAAGATAGCATTTCTGTGTGCGAAGGTATCTATCGGGAACACGTTTTCAGATTAGGAAAATGATAACATTGATTACATCAAATAATTATTCAAGTAATAGACACACACCTACAAAAAAAGACAGAAAGGTATACTGCCATATAATCATCACCTAAAACTTCATACTTTCTGTCTTTGCCACCATGTAATTATAGTAAGTCTCGTACTCGCATACTATACACTGTATCTATATTTGCCATAGGACATCTCCCGACTGTCAGATAATCATGAACTAGAAATTCACACTTTCTATCTATGCCACCTTGTAATGCTAAGTCTTATACTCGTTCATCCTACACTATAACCGCATGAGCATTTGGAAATCTCATAATTTGCAATACTTACTGGGGACATTTATTTTTAATATTTGTATCAAGTTGCATTCTTTTTTATGGGGATTAATTTCTTTTGTGTGATGCTCTTTTCTTTTCAGATTCACAGATTTTTTAATTATTTTATTCCTATGTGGGCTAATCAATGAATTATTTTCTTATGTATATCTGTCTTTTCTAAATTTAAAACAGTTTAAGCTTTTCCTGTTTTGGGTTGTTTTTTTCCTGAATGTAGTCACAATGCTTGTTTGCTAAGCATTTCTCCTTAATTTTTTCTGCCCTAATATGCATTTTCTTCAGGTGAAGTTTGGAAGAAAAAGACTGGTGAACTTTTTCCTTTAATAAAACCTTTTAATTATCTTCTTCCTTTTTATGGATCTTAACTTTCGGGTTTCATTCTTTATCCAATGAAAAAGTTGATAACCCCTTTTTATCACTTTTTCTTCCTAAAGTACAGTAATGTTAGTGTATATGTACTGTCACAATGAACCTAGTCATCTATTTTCTTTGATGAAAATCTTTACCTTTGATATCTTTCCTTCCATTACTGTCGATGATGCTGATTCTTCACCTTAAAACTGTTTTACTGTGGCTGCACAGTGGCATTCTGCATGTAGTTAGGTATCAGTACCATAGCCAGACATCAAAAAGGATGAGGTAGATAAAGAAAGCATTGGAAGCTTACAGGGGCATTGGATCCATTTAAAAAAAAATAGTTGTTTTGAACAACCTCTCTTTATAAAGTACAATGATATTTTGCCCTCCGGTGGCACAGCGGCATGTCTGTGGACTTGCAACGCTAGAAATCGGGTTTTCATACCTGTGGTGAGCAGAGCACAGATAGCCCATTGTGTAGCTTTGTGCTCAACTTTAAACAAACAAACTATAACATTTCCAATAAATGGTTAAAACTATATCATACATAAAGTTTACTATACATCCTAATTTCTCGAGTTTAGCCAGTTGTCACACTTCAACATAGCTATGGCCATATCTGTAATCTGATACTTTAATTTTACTGCAGTGGGAGTAAAAAAAAAAGGTTTATATGAATGCATATAGCCTTGTGAGAGTTTTTATTTATGAAACATAAGTTATGAATATGTAATGTACAGTTTAAAGCTATTAAAATAACTTTGACAAGATTGTAAAGACTATTTTGTAATTTATTATGTTGTTAAGATTAACTTCTGAATTTTCTGACTTAAATTAAGGAAGTACAGTATTTCTCCTCAAGTTTTCAATACAGTTGTAACAGATTTTACGAACATCATCAAATCCTTCTGATGTCTTTAAAAGCATGCAATTGCTCTTTTTGTTTAGTTGGTTTTTGATACATTTATTTAACTGTTTTCTTTCTCTTTACCTATAAAGTTGGTGGGTGTACTCTTATGTTTGACTTTGGCTCTTAATTTTAGCCAACTGGGCTTATTTTTTATATTCAAATCCTTTAGAACTTATTATTAGACTAACATTCTATGCCCTTTTGACAATTTAGGCCCAGATGTGGCCCAGTGGTTAGCTTGTCTGAACTATGTATCTGAGGGTCTGTGATTTACATCCCATTGCCACAAAAACGTGTTCAGTCTGAACCATAACTTGATTCATCAATTTCTCAATATTATGATGCTTTGGGGGTTAAGCTGAGCTCTTTCTATGATTATGAATGTTCATAACACATATTGGATGTCTACTTTCACATGGGATTCACGTGAAGTACAGAGTTTCTTAATTTTTTATATAAATTCGTTTTAGCTTTTTATAAATTATTTATACTCTGGTCCCATTATACAGTAGTCCACTATACCATAGTTCAGTTTTAATGCAAACAGCTCTTGGCTCCCAAAAATTTTGTAAGCCTACTTGCAGCATTGGCCCCCTCAGAATGTATGTATAATCATGGAACTCAATAAAAAAGACATGTGTGACGGCTCCTCACTCACTACACTTAGCGAAGCCATCGCTATTTATAATACTTGGTTTGTTCAGTCCAAAATACAATAACAAACCTAAGAATTCAAGCACAAAGAATTAGCAAAATAAGATAAGAATAGTCATATGCTTCTAAGAAAAAGTGGAAGACCATTGTGACATCACAAGTGCTTGTTCACTGCATTGTTTATAAAACGATAATGTACGGTTTCTAATTGCATTCAATTTAGGATATCAGTAGAAGTTGTCAGTTTTGGTGCATTTTTGACAATCCAATCAGATTTATTTATTTATTTACAGTTGGTGATTATTCTAACCAGTCAAATACCAAAACAGCAAAAACCACTCATTTTTGTCCTGTAAATATTAGAAACAGTTGCTAGAAGTCACTCATTTGGTGATATATAACAGTAGTGATACGTTGTATCTAGGTTATCATTTAGCATAATTCATATGGCACAACAAGTGGCAATGGGGCTGGGCTCTGTTGTCTGGACTTGGGCTCCTTTATACAATAGTCCACCTGTAAGCTGGTCACACATCTTGGCTCCCATCATCCATGCTATAAGGGGACCCAAGTGTGTTGTTTCATATAATTGCATTTTAAAGTGTATCGTCTGCTGATTTGATAAGTGTTCACAGTGTGGGGATTCACTTTTAATTTTGTATGTATAATGACTCTAATTTATGCCATGTTGGCAGAAGCATCTTTTTATCCCTATACTTTTTCAAATCCCTGGAGAGGGACACACTTTTATATCTTAATCCTTGAATCCATCACTTCATATGGCTGGAATTTACATTTTCATGAAGATATTTTATCTTGTATCTGAATAAACAAAGTGAAAAAGGCCATTCTGTTCATCACAGTTACTCTTCCCCCAAATTCAAACTAGATGTAGCCTCTCCCAACAATGTGATTGTCTAATAAAAGTTTACAATAACTGAGACTAACTGTATACACCATATTATTAGCTGAACCATTCTAAACATATTTATTTCTCTGATGGTAAAAAAAATTAACTTGTAGAAGAACAAATTAGCATTTGAGCTTCCAAAGCTTGTCTTTTATCCCTTGAATATACCAACATTTTTAAATTATGTTACAAAATCATTAAGTAAATTTAAGAAACATTTTTAGGTATCTATAGAGAAGCATTGGCTAAATATTCTTTAACTATGGATAACCATTGTAGTTAATGGTTTGAGAATTAATTATTTTTAGTAATGTTACAATTTATAATTACACAGTATCATTAGACAATTTTATGTGAAATAGTAGTTTCAGATTTTTGTGTTTGTTGCTTGGACTTCCTTAAAGGTACAACTTTTGTGGTTTATTTCAGCTTCTTCTGAGATTTGGTGCTGACACAGAACTAGAAGATCGGCTTTTGGGTTACGTACCAGGTTTACCTCTACACACTGCTGCTGTTTACCATCATTTTGCCTGCTTTGCTACTCTTTTGCTAGCTGGAGCAGAACCTGATTTGCAAAAAATTAAACCAAAACTGCCTGTATCAGTCATTGCACAGTTATCTTTATGTCATGCAATAGTTCGCCACCATTGCCCTGAACCTTTTGCTCAGCTGTTGACTGAATGTGGAGGCAACATTTGGCAACGAGACAGTAGAGGGTATCTTGCCACAGAACTAAATCAAAATGAAGGAGCAAGGTTGTTCTTGGAAAAACAGCTTGGTAAAATATAGTTTATATCTGATATAATGACATTTAGATTTTTGTAGTAATTTTGTTATTTTGTAGTACAGTGATAAAGTCAGTTGCTTGACTTGTACATTTCACACTATTTTTAAAATTTCATAATGTTTAGTTTTCACATAGCACTCAAGGAGAATGTTTTTTCTTATACATAAATCATATAACTATATAAAAGGACAGCCACAAGGCTAAAGCAAATATTATTCATTTGAGTTACTATGGAAAAGGTCACAAAATGCTCTCATGGAATTTCATGGCATGTCAGGGGCGAGAGGAAGGGGAGGTGTTCAAAAAGCTTATAAATTGTTCAGTTACATCGTACTTCAGGTGACTTGCACCCATGGCTTTAAAAACTGACATCAGCACTGCATATTTCTGTCTGTATACCTTAATATAAAAACTGAGATTCTGTGGCAGATTAACTACCACCTGGGCCCCTAGGCTGAGCTTTAGTAAGGCTCCCCCTGATCTTGCCCCCCTGCCTCCACCCTTTGTTGAATAGAATAAACTGATGTTAAATTATTTTAGATAACTTATATCGTTGTACTATGGATAATGTACTACATGTATAATTTCATAAAGTTATATGAATCAGTTACAGTCCTTTTATTCATTTATTTTTCATTTTCTTTACATTTGTAGTTTAAAAAACTTGAGTGTTTTTTGGTTTACAAAGGTATCGATAACAACATGCAAGTTAACAGATCGAAGCATATCTGATTCAATGTGCATGAGTGCCAGATGACTAAGTTTCTCATCACTCATTGTTGAGCGCAAATAGGTTTTGATCCTATTCAGTGCCAAAAATGAATGCTCACCTGAACAGTTAGTGATCATTAAGGACAGATAAATTCTAAAGCAAATGTATCTATTTGGATACACCTTGTGCAGTCGATCTTTTGCCAAAGCTCGATACATCCCAGTGACAGTGACATCATCATCGGATTGTCCTTTAATGTACTTCTGAAAATGGACGAGCTCTTCCACAAAGGCCAAGTCAAAGTCGCCTGGATAAACTTGTATGAGGGTATTCGCTGCCTTTTTAAATGCATCGACGTCAATATTGCAAATACAAGAAATAAATCCAAATCGGTTGGACACAGATCTATATGCTTCAGTGCGTTTTTTAAACTCTGCTGATAATTTGTCTAAGATCGGTAAGTACACATTAATCTTGAAACTCTGGCGAGGTGAAAAATCTGTTGCCTGTACTTTGCCATCATATTTTGTTATCCTGGTACTAACTTTTCACTTCCTTTGCATTTCTTCTTTGTAAACTGATGTCCTAGCCTTTGCAATGCCTTCTTGCTCAAAGTCCTGAAATGAGTCATTGGTCCTTAGAGATATAGGCCTCCAAAGACTGCAGAAGTCTCATGCCTTCATTAAGATCTATTTCTGGGTTTTGTCAAAAGCTGGTTTGGTGGATTCGCTCCAAAATTGTTGCCCAAATGCTGAGAAGTACTGGATACTCCAGAGATTCCATTTTGCTTACAAGACCTCTGGTTTCGTGTCACGTGTTTGACTTTTCATCTGGATTGTCAGCAATGCTGATTTTACTTTCTCGTATCCCTGATCTAGGGCGGCCATAGCACTTGCGTGAGCAGACCACCGAGTATCACTATGTCTCTTCACAACTGCAAGATTCTTTCCAAGCTCACCCACAAGTATTTCCCACCGGTGGGTTGAAGCACTGAAGAAATTGTACAACTCTTCAACAAAATCAAAAAAGGCAGTAGCTTTCGGAATACAATCCACTACTGAATGACCGACAAGATTCAACGAGTGAGAAAAGCAAGGAATATAGTCAGCTACTGGATTTCTCTCACATATTTTACCTTGAAGACCATTATACTTGCCACTCATGTTGGAGGCATTGTCGTATGATTGACCTCTGCAGTTCTCTAAATCTATTTTTTCTGTTTCTAAAAACATCAGAATACTCTCGGCAAGTTGTTCACTACTGTGACCTCTGCAATCGAGAAATTTGATGAATCTTTCAATAGGACCACTCTCATGCACATATCGAAAAAATGCAAGACAGCCAATCCACATGTGAAATATCAGGGGTTGAATCCATAGATATTGAAAAATATTTGGTTTCTTTAAGTTCTGAAATAACTTTCTCTAACAACTTTTGTCCAAGCATTTCAATCAGCTCATCACATGTTGTGGATAAAAGGTAGGACACAGAGCCTTTACCCTTATATCCATTCTTTTCAATATGAGTTGCCAAAAAAGGATTGAATTGTGCTAGCAATTCTAGTGTCCCTAGAAATTTGCCAGTGTTTGGTGATCCGATACACTCGTTGTGTCCCCTAAAGCTAGTCCCCGCTCAGCAAGAAATTTAATTGTAGCAACAACCC